TAGCTTTCTTCCTGTCTTTTGTATTGCAAAGAGAAAAGTGTGGAAGTGTCACAAAGTTCATCCCGTATGGCTACTGATAACTTCGTTCAACCTGCCATCCCGCGCTTTGATGGTCACTATGACCATTGGAGTATGTTGATGGAGAACTTCTTGAGGTCCAAAGAATATTGGCAGGTCGTCTCCAACGGAATAGCAGAACCAGCACCAGGCACAACAGTGATAGATGCACAGAAAACAGAATTAGAAGGACAACGTTTGAAGGATCTCAAAGCGAAAAATTCTTTTCCAAGCCATTGATCGTTCAATCTTGGAAACCATTCTTTGCAAGGATACATCCAAGCACATCTGGGATTCMATGAAGAAGAAGTATCAAGGTTTGGCAAGGGCAAAGAGGCAGCAGCTTCAAGCACTTTGTTCGGAGTTTGAAACATTACGAATGAAATTGGGAGAGTCGGTCATAGATTAATTTTCGCAGACAATGGCAATCGTCAATAAGATGCGGATCCACGGTGACAAGACGGAGGACGTCACCATAGTAGAGAAGATCCTTCGATGACACCAAAATTTAATTTTGTTGTTTGTTCCATAGAAGAATCTCATGATATTAATGAACTTTCAATTGACGAATTACAAAGTTCTTTGTTGATTCATGAGCATAAAATCAACCAGTAGGAGAAAGAGGAGCAAGCTTTGAAGGCCTCCACAGAAAATCATCTAGCACCAAGGAGAGATAGAGGACGAGGTAGAGGACGAGGTAGAGGTAGTGGCAGAGGCAGAGAAAGCAATGATTATTGAAACCAACAACAACATCAACTTCAAGACAACCAAGTTCAAGGAAGAGGAAGAGGATGAGGAGACCACCACTCGACTACATATAGACCAAGGTCAGCAGACAAGTCCAATGTCGAGTGCTACAGATGTCACAGGTATGGCCACTACAAGTCTGAATGCCGAACTAATTTAAATAGACAACATGGAGAAATGTCTAATCTTGTAGAGAAGGAAGAAGAAGTATCCTTCTTAATGGTTTGTCATGTAAAGGAGGAAACCAACAAGAATTTGTGGTACTTAGACACAGGCTGCAACAATCATATGTGTGGAGACAAGTCAGCATTCTCTTATTTGGATGAGTCATTTCGCGATAAATGTGAAGTTTGGTGACAATTCTAGAGTCTCAGTTATGGGAAAAGGAAGGGTGACAATCCAAACCAAGGGGGATTCTACTCAAACAATCTCCAATGTGCTCTTCGTTCCAAACTTGAAGACCAATCTGCTTAGTGTGGGTCAGCTGCAAGAAAAGGGATACGAGGTTTCTATCAAAGATGGAGTTTGTCAAATTCAAGATGCAAAGTTAGGCTTAATTGCTCAAGTTAACATGACAGCGAATCGTATGTTTCCGCTTTATCTCTACAACATCACTCATTCATGCTTCTCAGCCAAATTGAAGAATGCAGCATGGCTATGGCATTTTCGCTATGGTCACCTAAACTTTGGTGGACTGAAGACTTTACAATAGAAAAATATGGTGACCGGTCTTCCTCAAATTACAGCTCCATCTGAAGTTTGTGTTGTTAGCAAACAACACCGTAATCAATTTCCGGAAGGAAAATCATGGAGAGCGGAAAAGGCGTTGGAGCTGGTTCATTCTGATCTTTGCGGGCCAATTGATCCATCTTCCAAYGGAGGTAAGAGGTACATAATTACCTTCATTGATGATTATAGTTGAAAAGTATGGGTCTATTTTTTGCAAGAAAAATCTGAAGCTTTTGCAGCATTTAAAAATTATAAAGTGCTTGTTGAGAAAGAAGTTGGCAGCCCAATAAAGGTTCTTCGCACTGATCGCGGTGAAGAATACAAATCATTTGAATTCACAAAATTTTGTGAGACCCATGGAATCAAGAGGCAACTTACGGCAGCTTACACGCCTCAACAAAATGGAGTTTGTGAGCGGAAAAATCGCACTATTTTGAATATGGTGCGAAGTTTGTTGCAGAGGAGCGACATTCCAAAAACCTTCTGGCCCGAAGCAGTTAACTGGAGCATTCATATTTTGAATAGGTGTCCCACACACTGTTCAAAATATGACTCCAGAGGAAGCATGGAGCGGACGGAGACCGGGAGTAGATCATTTCAGAATTTTTGGGTGTGTTGGCTATGCTCATATTCCAGACCAGAAGAGAACAAAGCTAGATGACAAGGGAGAAAAATGCATTTTTCTTGGTGTTAGTGATCAATCAAAAGGCTATAAGCTTTACAATCCTATCACTAAGAAAATTGTTATCAGTCGTGATGTCGTTTTTATGAAGAAAGTTTTTGGCCATGGAACAACAATGTTGTCAAACAGCAAATACCCGTCAACTTTGATGGACACAACGAAGAGGAGAGGCAGCAACCAATAGAAAATGATCAACAAATTCCACCAGATGGTCCGACAGATGTTTCAAGCTCGCCAACAGCAATAGAACGGCCTCAACGTGTTAGAAGAAGGCTTGCATGGATGACTGATTATGAGGTAACCGAAATTAACCAATCTGAGGACTCACTTACATATTTTACTCTATTTTCGGATTGTGATCCTACAACTTTCGATGAGGCTATCAAAGAATCCAAATGGCGGAAGGCAATGGACGAAGAAATTGCAACCATTGAACGGAACAACACTTGGGAGTTGACTGATCTTCCAAGAGGGCACAAGACAATTGGTGTCAAGTGGGTGTACAAGACAAAATTGAAGGAGAATGGAGAAGTTGACAAATACAAGGCACGCCTAGTAGCTAAAGGCTATAAGCAAGAATTTGGAGTGGATTATAGAGAAGTCTTTGCTCCTGTCGCAAGACATGATACGATCATATTGGTGATTACATTGGCTGCTCAACATTCATGGCCTATCTTCCAATTGGATGTGAAATCAGCATTCTTGCATGGTGAACTGCAGGAACAAGTATTTATTGATCAACCTCTTGGTTATGTGAAACTTGGAAGTGAAAATAAGGCTTATAAACTCAAAAAGGCATTATATGTTGGTATAGTCATATAGATGATTATTTTTCTGAAGAGGGATTTAAGAAATGTCCATATGAGCACACACTTTTTTACAAAGATTGAAGATGGAGGAAAATTGCTCATTGTTTGCTTATATGTTGACGATCTTATTTTCACTGGAAATGAKAGTGCCATGTTTGAAAGTTTTAAGAAGTCCATGATGATTGAGTTTGATATGTCTGACCTTGGAAAGATGCATTATTTTTTGGATATTGAAGTGGTGCAATCTGCAGCTGGAATTTTTATTTCACAAAGGAAGTATGTGCAAGAAATTTTGGATAGGTTTCAAATGAAAAATTGCAATTCTGTTAGCACACCAACTGAAGTGGGTCTGAAGCTTGTTTGAAATCCTGAAGGAAGGAAGATTGATAGCACTCTTTACAAGAAAATTGTAGGGAGTCTAATGTATTTAACAGCTACAAGCTTGTTCGACATAATGCATGTTGTGAGTCTCATAAGCAGGTTCATGGAGTGTTCGAAAGAGATTCATCTCTTAGCTGGAAAAAGAATCTTTTGATACTTGCAAGGGACTGCTAGTTATGGGCTGTTCTACAAGAAAGAAGAAAAGTCAGATTTGTTCGGTTTCACTGACAGTGATTATGCCAAAGATTTAGATGATCGGAAAAGCACTTCAAGATATATTTTCATGCTTGGTTCTAGAGCTGTTTTGTGGTCTTCAAAAAAGCAATCAATTGTCACTTTGTCAACAACTGAAGCAGAGTTTGTAGCTGCAACAGGCTACGCCTGTCAAGCTATTTGGCTGAAGAAAATTCTAGAAGAGCTAAACTTTGAACGACAAGGTCCTATAACAATTTTTTGTGACAACAGTTCTTCCATCGAATTCTCTAAAAATCCTATTCTACATGGAAGAAGCAAACATATAGATGTGAAGTTTCACTTCTTAAGGAACCTGACAAATGAAGGAGTCATTGATCTCGTCTACTGCAAGAGTGAAGACCAGATTGCTGATATAATGACCAAACCTCTCAAGTTAGCGTCGTTTGTGAAGTTTAGAAAACTGCTAGGTATCTCCACTTTGGATGGCCCAGCTTGAAGAGAGTTCATTGTTTTTTTTTTTTTTTTTTTTAAACTGAATGTTTGAAAACTTTCAGTTCAAGGGAGGGATAATGTTGAAATATTTACCAAGTCTCCTAGTTGTCCTCGTCAATAGGAGTTTGTTTAAGTGGTTGTAGTTTGTTTTTCTATTAAGTCTCTTAGTTGTCCTCGTCAATAGGAATTTGTGTAAGTGGTTTAGTTTGTTTTGCTGTTACCTCGTCTATAAGAGAATACATAGCTTAGTTGCATGTTTTTAGGAGTTGGTGGTTGCACTTCCTAGTTTCAAGCACTTATCCGTTTGGTTTTAGCTCTATAAATAGAGCAGCTACTTGTTGTGAAAATTATTAGATTTTGAGAAATAACAAAGTTCAGTCCTTGTTTCTATTATTTTGTTCTTTTTCTTCCAAAATATTTATTTGACACATATGAACAAAGTATGATTGAAAATTAAAGTAAGAGAGATTTTAAATAAATGTCAAAAAACTTAAGGATAACTTAAAACAATATATAAACCATAAGGATAGTCAATTTCATTAACAGTAAGAGTAATTTAAGAGATTTACCCTTATTTTTCTTGTTTATAAATTGTATTCCCTTTCTTTGAATGGGATGAAAAATACATTTCATAGAGTAAGGTACTTTCTATTTGATAGAGTGCATGTGAAGGCCAATGTGCTTTGGAAAAGAAGGATGAGGTGGCATCTGTCTCCATGACTTTTTCGATACAACAATGATCATATATTAAAATACAAATTTATCTTCAAGAAATTCAACGATAATGGACAATTTATGTCCAATAAAAATTCGAAAAAATCAGTCCCTATTTGCAGTTTCGTTTTTTTATTTTTTTATTTTTAAAACACGAAGTTATTCATTAATTAACTAAAGATAAGAAGTTTGGGAAGGATAAAGCATGGGAAGAAACTGATTTAACAATGGAAAGGCATCTGCTCCACACACTCTTTGACAGCATCTGCTACCAAGAAAATGAGCTACTAAATAATTTGAACGATTTACACGAGACGGAGAAAAACAGAAACAATGTGACCAACTCGGGAAGAGATGACAGTTGTATTAAATCTGACTGTAATATTATCTGAGAGAGAGAGAGCTGACTGTTGTCTTTTGTTGATGTTAAACCAATCAACAAGACCCATCTACTTGCCGTGCCGTGAAAAAAGTCTTCAGACTTCAGATTCCAGTCATGACTATCTCCTCCAAAAACCTTTTAAGGTTCTTATCCGAAGAACCACCATCCTTCACGGCCTCTTTGGACATTTCTTTCCATTTCTTTACATTCCTTGTCATTTCGTTCCCACTCTCGCTTCCCATCACCAAATCCAAGCATCTTTTAATTTCTCCACTCTCAACTATTCCCTCCTCTGTCTTCACCTTCGTTCTCACCCCTGTCCTCCAAACATCTTCAATTAACCTCGAATTCGTCGTCTGATCTGAAATTTGCGGCAACGTCACCACCGGAACCCCGGCAACCAGACTCTCCAATGTCGAATTCCATCCACAGTGCGTCACAAAACATCCCACCGATGAATGAGACAGAACCTCCACTTGAGTACACCATGGGACGATCAACCCTCGTTCCTTCAGCTCTTCCCATCTACCCAACATCGTCTCTTCTCCTGTTTCATTTCTATTTAGCCGTATCACCCACAAGAACGGACGACCACTTTCTAACAACCCATTTGCAATCTCCTCCGTTTGCAGCACAGCAAGGCTCCCGAACGATACATAAACCACCGAGGAATCCGGCTTCGAGTTTAGCCACTCGATGTAGTCCCCCGAACCATGGAACAGATCTCCACCGAAGGATTTGTCAGAAGGGTCTTCATCATCCAAAAAGGCCGACGGGATTAATGGTCCGATGCCGATCATATTAATCTTGTCGATGGCTCCCAGTGCTTCAGGCTCCATAGCATCAAACGTGTTGATGAGCACTTGTATCTTGGTTTCCCTCTCAAAGCTCTGAAATTGTTCTTGAAACCCTGGAACAGCGAGAGGTAGAAAATTTGAAGGAAGTAAAAAAGATGGAACGTCTTGGCTGGTGAGGCGGGGCAGTCCAGGTAATTCTATTGAAGACAAGGGATCATCCTCACTATTCGCTATGAGCTCGCGGAAGCCATTAAAGTAGTGATAGTAGATATCGAAGACAGCGGCAGACTGAATCCAGAGAAGAGCAGAGGCGACGCCCAGGTTGTTAGCCACATCAGCTGCCCAACTCAGTAGGAGAGTGTATATCAAGCAAGTAACTGGGCGGTGTTCTTTAGAAGCGGCCAGAATCAGGTCGGCGAGAGCCTGTGAGGCCCGGAGTTTGAACTCCGATGGTTCGTCGAAGAAGACTCTATAACCGTCGTCGAAGCCGTCTGAGAAGGGGGCGAAGGTCAAGCCATGGATGGGTGTGGAACTTTTCATCAGGCGCCGGTAAGCAGAGAAGCTGATAGCGAAGGTAACTTGTGCACCGGTGCGCAGGAGGCGTTTGGCGAATTGGAGAGTTGGATTAATATGGCCCTGCATTGGCAGAGTGACGAGAAGAAAGTGGTTTGGCCTTTCACCCATAAGTCTCCTGTGTGTTGTCGAGCACTCGTGCTTGGCTGCTGGTACCTGGTAGAGTGGTAGTAGTGACAAGTGGGTACTGGGTGGTGAGTAGTGAGTGGCTATTTAAGAAGATTACAACAGTTGTGGTGACGTATGTGGTGACGGAACATACTTTAATGGTCGGGGAAATGACTTTGAACCCCCTTCACAAAAAGAAAAACCTCCTAACACCCTGTATGTAGAATATCCAACCGCTGAAACCCAGAACTAAAACCAAAATACCACTACAACCCCCCTCTATTCCGAAGTAGACCTGTTCATGGGCGGGGCCGGGCCGGGCTCGGGCCGGGCTTTTATTCTTTATGAATAGAAATTTGTTAGGCCCGAGCCCGAGTCCGGCCCGACCAACAGGCCTACAACTTGGGCCCGAACCCGGCCCTGATAAAAAGCCCGAAGCCCGACCTAATATAAAGATTGGGATTTTTCCCTATTCAAATGGACATTATCTATTTTAATTCAAATAGTTTTTTTCCCTATTCAAATTAGCAAGGGCCTATAAGATGGTTTTTTTCCCCTTTCTTTTACGTTTTAAAGCACAAATTTACATTCTTAAATCAAAAAATCTATTCAAATGGACATAATCCATTTTAGTTTCATTCTTTTTTTCTTACAATCAAGTGAATCAACAACCTTCTTTAAGGTTGTTAATATATTCCTTGTTGTTTGGTTGTTTCTATACAACCAAGGCAAACCTAAAATAAAACATATAATAATCCATTTTAATTCCTACAAAGAATCTATTTTAATTCCATGTTTTTCTTACAATCAAGTGAATCAACAACCTTCTTTAAGATTGTTTAATATATTCCCTATTGTTTGGTTGTTTCTATACAATCAAAGAAAACCTGAAATAAAACATATGAGACAAGGAAAACCTGAAAATAAAACATATGAGACCAAATCATATAGGTTCATATTCCTACAAATAGCATGACACACTAAAACTAAATTCATATAACTTCAAGTTCATGTTCCTCCAAAATGATAAAAAAAAAAAATCTGAATAAGACAAACAAAATCTATAAAACATGTTCTTCATCCATTCTTAAATTCACCAACAAGATGGAATATTCAAATTCTTAAGTCTCAAGCCATTCTAAAAAATAAAATAAAAGGCCACTTCATTGCCCATATCAAACAAAACATGTTTTACCCATCTCCATTCATTCTTGAATAAGACAAACAAAATCCATATCATGTCTTAGGATTCCGAAGACGTGATATATGTCAGCCATCTCCTAATTCTTTGACCATTATGCCCATACAAAACCCAGTGATCTGAACACGGTTATGAAAAATTCTCGATACATAATTCAGAGGCCCACAACTTAGAAATTTTTTTTGCGGTAAATTCTTGTTTAAACTTTCTAGTTGTCAAAAGAAAATCCCAATAATTGGTGTTTTTGAACACCGGTTATAACTCTTCCATCCATCTAAAAAGAACAATTTTTTTCTAAAAAAAGAGAGAGGAATTAGATATTATAGCTCAAAGCATCTAATACATTTTGGCTGCCACCATTTGCCATCTACTAATATATATTTACATGTTTAATATGCTACTTCATGGGCAGCGGAGTTCAAATTCCTACGTGCATATTTGATAGATATCGATTCAAAATTAGGGATGTAATTGGATTGGATTCTGATCGGGTTCATCAAAATCTGAATTCGATTTGATTAGTAAAATTGTGCATCAGAATCTGATCAAAAATTTGATCAGAATTTAAGACCTTGGATTCAAATTCAAATTCTAATAAATTAATATAAATATAATATATTGAATTTATTATATATATAAATTCATATAAAATAGAATATATAAAATATATTTTTATAATTTTAAATATAATTCTATAAATTTATTTATATAATTAATAAATATTATAATATAGGGGTTTTTATCGATCTCTCCACGCAGAAATCAAAATTGCCAATTAACCTCGTACGAAAACTGAAATCCATGTCAAATCTAGTTGATAAATCAGTATTTATTTTCAACCACACCTTGTGTATACGTCACATAATTATGTACGAAAATGCTCTTTATTTAAAACCATATTCCTTCGTCTTCTAGAGGCTAAGGACACTGAACGCCTCTAGGCCCTCATCTCAAGGGCTTCTCCACCGCTCGTCTACCCCCGTGCCTCACACACCGAGTATCTCGACACCTTCTGATCGCCCATCGGCCTGACGGCAAGGGCCTACAGTGAGAAACGATGGTTCTAAAAAAGCACGGTTTTCCACCGTCGGCCTTCCCCCGTTGACCAGGGGCATCTCCTCCCTTTGGGGACATCCAGGAGCCCTCTCCCCACCCCGTGGAGGTGGTTCCACCACTTGTCTACCCCTATGCCCCCCTCCAAGACCGCTTCTCAGAAATGGCAGAATCACCCAAAGGCCACTCCGGCGGGTGCGGAGGGGTTCAATGGCCACCAAACCCACTCTCTCCTATGACCACTCACCCACCGAGCATCTAGACACCTTCTGATCACCCATCACCCAATGGCCACTCCGGTGGGTGCGGAGGGGTTGAAAAAGCAAAGTTTCCCACCATCGGCCTTTCCCCGTTGGTTCGGGACATCTACGCCTCCTCTAGGGATGTCCAGGAGCCCTCTCCCCACCACGTGGAGGTGGTTCCACCGTCCGTCTACCCCCACTCCCCCCTCCGGGACCTCTTCACGGAAAAGGCAAAATCACCCGGAGGCCACTCTGACGGGTGCGGAGGGGTTCAATGGCCACCAAACCCACTCCCTCCTATTGCCACTCACCCACCGAGCATCCGGACAACTTCTAATCGCCCATCAGCTTGACGGTGGGAAACGGTGGTTCTACAAAAGCACTATTTCCCACCGTCAGCCTTCCCCCATTGGCCTGGGGCATCTCTGCCTCCTCTGGGACGTCAAGCAGACATCTCCAAACCCCGTGAAGGTGGTCCCACTGCCCATCTACCCCTGCACCCCCCTCTGGGACCACTTCTCCAAAATGGCAAGATCATCCTAAGGCTACTTCGACGAGTGTGGAGGGGTTCGACAGCCACCAAACCCATTCCATCCCACTACCACTCACCCACCAAGCATCCCGACACCTTCCCGATCACTAGACCTGTTCATGGGCCGGGTCGGGCCGAGCTCGGGCCGGGCTTTCACTTGTCACTAATGAAAATATACTAGGCCCGAGCCCGAGCCCGGCCCGACCAACGGGCCTATAACTTGGGCCCGAGCCCGGCCCTGGTAAAAAGCCCGAAGCCCGAGCCCGAGTCCGAAGCCCGACCAAATTGAAAAAAAAAACAATTTTCCCTATTCAAATTAGAATTAAAATTTCATATAAGTAT